TGAATACAGACTGGACCTTCGGTGAGAATGAGTCACCTTTCTGGCATTATTGAACCATTAAGTGGCTTGCACAAAAACCACCTGCAGCATACTAAAAATGAGTATATCTAAGGTGGCCTCCTAAAGTTTCCTTGTACCCTATTTAAACTATGCTGCTTCTTCCCTTTATTCCCAAGAAAAGGAGCATTTCAACCCTGGCAAGTTTACAGTACTTGTCCCAAAATTCCTAGGAAATTTACGTTTTTTCTAAGCCTTACTGCCTCTCTGTGAGGACTGCAGCCCAGAAGCTGCTGGCTAAGGTAATATCAGAGTAGCTCCAAGGTAATCCTATTTGAGATGGAAAGAAAATTTAAGCTCATAAGGCCCCAAGACAAGGAATGAGAAAATCTCAAGTAGCCAAGGCTTGAGAGCAAAGTCAGAGTAGATTAATGGGATATATGCAAAAATACACACCAAAACAATTTAAAAAACTAAAACTTGACCTTTTCCCCTATCTCCTCAGCTTCAGCAGAGGAAGAACAATAGGAAATCCAGTAATTTTTTTTTTTCCTTTTTAGGGCCTACTTGATCTATCCTTATTTCTAGGAGTTTGAACTAGACATTTCGAACATAATTAAGAGGGGGAGCCCGCTGGACTTAAACGTTATTCTAATGATCTCACTCAAAATAACCAGGGCCCTACTGGACAATCACTCCCATACTGTGGCTCCTTCCCCGAGGAGGATGGGAAGGCAAGGGAAACTACTTGAGGGCAGGGATGACCCTTGGCCAGAGAGCTACAGAGACTTAGAGTACAGAAAGGCAGATCTCAACACCGTGACAAGAGGGTGGAAACCAGTTAGCAGCCTCTTCTTAATTCCTCTTTAAAGTCACAAGTCCAACAATTAGGGCTATGCCTGGACAATTTGACCCAAGGTCAGAGTTGAAAGGGGGAACCAACCAGAGGGCTCTACAGTGAGGGGGTCAAAATAAAGATTTTACATAATTAAAACTTGGTAGAACAGTACAAATGAATCATCCAAAGCTTTTTAATGACTATCAGAGGGGCAGAACTTCTCAGGTACAAATGGGATACAAGACATGAGACAATTTAGCTTCAAGACTAAGTATTTGGTGATTTCTGGGTTATTCATACCTTTGCTTGCTATAACCCACCCCTACCAAACAGAAACAATGGTTGACTATGCTTAGCTCTATGGCCTTACCTGTCTCTCCCTTAGAAGCATTGCTTCTTGACAGCGTGCCTTTGGGAGGAATGAGACCTCCAAGGGCAACATGGCATACTTTTAAATTAAGGTCCTAAACAAAACAGGAAAATGATGAATGTTGGAGAAGATCTGGTAAAATTGGAACACTAATGCATTGTTGGTGGAGTTGTGAAATGATCCAACCATTTTGGAGAGCAATTTGGAACTATGCCCAAAGGGCTATAAAAATGTGCATATCCTTTGACCCAGCAACAGTACTTCTAGGGTTATATCCCAAAGAGATCACACAAATGGGAAAAGGACATACATGTACAAAAATATTCAAAGCAGCTCTTTTTGTGGTGGCAAAGAATTGGAAATTGAGAGAATGCCCATCAATTGGGGAATTGCTGAGCAAGTTGTGGTATATGAATGTGATGGAATACTATTGTGCTATAAGAAATGATGAACAGGCTGACTTCAGAAAAACCTGGAAAGACCTGTATGGTCTGATGCTGAGTGAAGTGAGCAGAACCAAGAGAACGTTGTACACAATAACAGCCACATCATGTGATGACTAATATTGATAAACTTAACCCTTCCTGGCAATACAAGGATCTAAGACATCTCCAGAGGCCTTGTGATGGAAAATGCTATCCACACCCAAACAAAGAATTATGGAAGCCGAATTGTTATTGTTTTTTTCTCTTCTGTTGAGTTTTGTTTCTCTCTGATGGTTCCTCCTATTGGTTTTAATTTCTACTTAGAACATCACTAACGTGAAAATATGTTTAATATGAATGTAAATGTATAGCCTATATCAGAGTGTGAGCCGTCTTGGGGAGGGTGGTAGGGAGGAAGGGGGAGAAAAATTTTAAACTCAAAAGCATATGGAAGTGATTATTAATAAATCAAAATAAATTAATAAAAAAATAAATTAAAATAAATAAATACATTAAGGTCATAAAGCCCAGCCTTCTGGGGCATGAGAGCTGGTATTAAGTTAATTGAGCTGAATAAAGCCATCCGTCTTGAAACTCGGACAATACAATCTGCCAAATCACAATGAGTTTGCCACAGTATGGAACAACTGATAAGTCAAAGTAGTTCAATGATAGCATCTGAGAAACTCTGATTATAGTAATTCTCAATAGCTTAAGGTCAAGGAAAAAAGTTCCCATGATAATTATCAATAACTGATGTTATATTAATTTTTTTCCCCTTCAATCATAATCTTTGGTTTCATATCTGTTTGGTCTTTGCTTTCATCTACTTGGGATCCTGTTTAATCAAGACCTCTACACTCCTTGGCCCCTAGCACAGTGCTGGGTTGGGCAGCTCTGCACTCAGTAATATATTGGCAATGATAACCAGTTTCCATGCCTTTCACTTATTGAAATGTATCCCATCCACAAGTGTGCAGCACAAATGTGGTCTCCCATGTATCAAAAAGGCTTTTCAGAGATTGAGATCCTAGACTTATCTTGTTTCCATGGGAGGGATTCTTTCATTAATTTTGTTCTGAAAATGAAAACATTTTATTTTATGCTTCAATCTATATTCAGACACCATCAGTTCTTTTTCTGGGGATGGATAGCATTTTTTATCCTAAGTCCTTCAGAGCTGTGTTGGATCATTGTATTGCTGAGAATAACCAAGTCATTCACAACTGATTATCTTACAATATTGCTGTTACTTTATACACAGTACATTTCACTTTACATCAGCCCATGCAAGTCTTTCCACGTTTTTCTGAGAGCATCTTGCTCATCATTTCCTATAGTACAATAGAATTCCATCCAGAGGGCATTGAGTATGATATTTCGGAGGGCAAAGGAATTAGGACTACAACCTAGAATCACCTACCCAGCAAAACTGAGTATAATCCTTCAGGGTAAAAAATGGTCATTCAATGAAATAGGGGACTTTCAAGCATTCCTGTGGAAAAGACCAGAGCCCAATATAAAATTTGACCTTCAAATACAAGACTCAAGTGAAACATGGAAGATATAAACAGGAAAGAGAAATCATAAGAAACTTATTAAGGTTGAACTGTTTACATTCCTGCAGGGAAAGATGATATTTGTAACTCATGAGTCCTTTGTCACTATTAGGGTAGTGGGATGGGAAAAAATTATATGTTTGTATAGATAGACAGAGGACACAGGGTGAGTTGAAGATCTGGGGTCATATCTGGAAAATAAAATTAAGAGATGGGAGAAGATTATACTGGGGGAAGAAGAAAGGGAGAAGTAGAATGAGGTAAAATATCTCACATGAAACAGACAAGAAAAGGCTTTTACAGTGGAGGGGAAATGGAGGAAGGTGAGAGGGAATGAGTGAATCTTATTCTCATGGGAGTTGGCTTAAGGAGGGAATAATATACACAATGGGGCATGGAAATCTATCTTACTCTACAGGAAAATAAGGGGGTAAGGGGACAAGAGAACAGGGGGTTGATAGAGCAGACGGCAGATTGAGGGAGGGGATAATCAAAAGGAAACACTTCTGAGTAGGGACAGGATCAAAAGAATAGAATAAATGGGGGGTAGGATAGGATGAAGGGAAATATACTTAGTTTTTCACAACAGGACTACTATGGAAATGTTTTGCATGACTACACATCTATAACCTGCACTGAGATGCTTGCCTTTTCAATGAGGGTGGGTGGCGAGGGAGGAAGGGAGAAAATTTGTAACCCAAAGTTTTAAAAACACATGTTAAAAATAAAAAATTAAAAAAAAATAGTATTCCATCATGATCACATACCACAACTTGTTCAGCCATTCTCCAGTTGATGGGCATTCCTTCAATTTCTAATTCTTTGCCCCCAGAAAAGAGCTGCTATTAATATTTTTCAACATATAGGTCCTTTTCTTTTTTTAATCTCTTTTGGGATACAGACCTAGTAGTGGTATTGCTAGTTCAAAGGATATGCATGGATTTATAGACCTTTGGGCACAGTTCCAAATTGCTCTACAGAATGGTTACATCCATTCACAATTCCACCAACAGTGCATTAACGTCTCATTTTCCCCACATCCCCTCCAACATTTGTCATTTGCCTTTTCTGTCCTATTAGCCAGTCTAATAGGTATGAGGTAGTACCTCAGAACTGTTTTAATTTGCATTTCTCCAATCAATAGTGAGGTAAGAGTGAAAATGGAAATATTTTAGAAACAAATCTGTTTTTTATACCTCTGTAGCTATAACCAGTATATGTCTTTTCTATCTTTGGATATTTTCCTGGGCCTCCGGTATTTCAAGCTTTCCAAAATGATGTTCATTGGATTGAATTTGTTCTATAAGAAACTTTTCAATTAGTCTGGGGTTTTAGACTGTTTTTGAGGCAATCGGGTTAAATGACTTGCCCAGGACCACACAGCTAGTAAGTACCTGAGGCCAGATTTGAACTCAGGTGCTCCTGATTCCAGGGCTGGTACTTTCCAGTGCACTACCTAGCTGCCCTTCAAATAGTTTTGAAATTAAATTTAGTGATAATGAAGATGCTAGAAATTCCTATCTGAAGGGGAAGAAACACTAAATTACTAAAGTGAGCAGGCCAAACCTGAGGTAGTTTTCTTTTCAGGGAGGCTAATGGTCATCAGTTTTCAGAAGACAGACACAACCTTCAAGATCAGGTATGATGTTGTTTGCTGGAAGGCCTTGATGCTAAGCTGTGATCTTAAGATATGAAACTCTTTCAAAAGTTCAAGTATCTAAGTAGCTCCTGTACCCAATAGTCTGCTGGAGGCTAGACCATTTGGTGCCTTACAGTTAATGGAGAAAAGCATAGCATCGGGCAACCAGGAAGAGAACTCAACCAGATCAATGTTTTATTTTAAACAGGGAAACAAAGAACTCTCATTCGATTTAAATGTAAAACTGGAAAAGGAGACAGGACATCAAAACAAGGTACATGAAAGGAGGAAAAAGCCAGGAGGCACAGCATTCGAAGAGGGGCTGGGCCTTTTCATCAGCTGACTCAACTCAACATTTTCCTAAACAGAAATAACATTAAGACAGACAGATTGGGATAAATCATTACCTTCCCAAAATGATGTGTTTAAAATTTCATTACTTGATAAATTAAAATTAAAAGACAGCAGCTACCATCTGCTCCTTCAGATTAAATCTTGCTTACTTGGGAACCCTGTTCCCCTTCACCCAAACTGTACATCTCATAGATTTAATTAAAATGAAAATCAACACCAGCAGATGTAGGCATCTGTTTTAAAAATATAAACTGAGACCGAACTGTTTCTCTTCCTCCTCCCATCCCCTACTCCTTTCCTCACTTTGGGATATGGAAGGTTTTTGGTGGGTCAAACCCTACTGTTGATGGTACCAGAGTGGTTACAAGACAACGAATCAAAGGAACGTGAAAGTCACCCACTTAAGACAAAGTGCATGTCAAATTCATAATACCAGAAAATTTCATTCCCCACTTCCTATCCCAGTGGAAGCATTTTGTTTGGTTTCTAAAACGTCATTGTATAAAACAGTCCAGGGATCAATACGAGCAGCTCTATGCAGAACGCTGATCCTGAATCCATTCACAACAACACCAACCATGATTGTATCCGATAAGCAGATGTACATACTTTTACATTTGGCTGTCTTAGCCTCTTATAACAAATCTGTTTGATATCCAGTGACACTATGTGAAAAGCTGACTAGTGTATCTGGAGAGAATGCTCCTGTGCTAAATCTATTTTCTTGACTGTCTTTAATACTAAACACAGCCCTGGCCATGGGCTCATTAAAAATTCTAATTCTTATGACAATAAAATTCCATTCAGAGCAACTTACTGTGACATTAAGAGGTAAAGGAGAAATTTTGGTGTGAACGTTGAACTGGACAAGGCAAGAAACTCCATTTAAAAATGGAAGGGAAGGAAAAACACTGACAAATACAACAGTAAGTTGTCTCTAGAAATGCCAAGATAGAATTTTTTTTTTTAAAGATGGCTCCTCTAATATATCCTTGTCTAGCATCATCAATAGCAAAATTACCAGGTAGGCCTTGATAGGGTAGACACATAAATCACCCCGGAAGGAAAAATCAAGGTAGTAGCAAGGTTTAATCTCAGGAAGATACCACTAAACATTAAATTAGGTTATATAAAAATGTATTACGGTGTCCACTACCTTTGCCTTTTAATACAAGGCTTGGTTTAGTCATTTCAGAACATATTTTCTTTAAAAATAAAGATCCTTTCTTATGCTACAGCTCTTTATAACTGAGTTGAGGATGAGAAGTAAGGCAGGACCAACATTTTATGCATTTTCATAGTAATGATAAATGTCATCCAAGGATTCTAGATGCTCAACAATTATCCCCATAGGAAGGACAGGTTCGTTTAAAATCCATTTTACTGATGGGAAAAATATGAGTCTAGGTGTGGTCCATGACTGGTATGTACTCTCCCTGAATGCATCGCTGATTGAAATATAGGCTCCAAGAGTTTCATGGGATAGAATGGCATTGCCCCCTACCCAGGTCTTAGGGGAAACAGAATAAACTCACACACACTGATCAGGAAAAGAGTATGGTTTCCCTCTAACACACTGGTTAAGTACGCAAATGCATACACACAGAGGACATAGGGAAGATGTTAAGACCTCCACCCTGGGCAATTTCAGACCTGAATTTAATATTCTGAAGCTTTTTTACAATACAGAGTAAGAATCTAAATCCTCCATTGTATAACATTAATTAGCTCCTGAATCCAAAAATGCCCTTAATATATCCAGTCAGGCCACTCTTGGTCTTCTGTTCCACCTTGTCCTCTAGTGGTGGGAAAGCCACGTGATTGAGGGCCAGATCAAAGAACAAGGGCTTGCAAGGGATAGGTTTGAATCCTGGTGGGAAGTGAACGAGGTTGGCTTGCTTGCTGACGAGAGAAGGATCCAGGTAAAAAGTGTCAAATCGTTCAACAAGAGGCTGAAAATCAAACAAAAATTAAATCCTAGGTGTTATTATGAAGAGCAACTGACATCTCATCTTTAAGTAGTCTAGAGCAATGGTCTTCAAAGTGAGGGTCCTGGCATGAACTCAAGAGGTCTGAAAAATCATTTAGGGTGGAAAGATGGTTTACAGCCAACCTTCCCATAAGAGCCAAGCCAATTCAATATCCACACTTCACCAATTATCACTCAACTCTATTCCTTCCCTCTACTGTACAATCAGCCAGCCTCTTTCCTTCTGTGAAATGGAGGATCAGCCTGAAGGCCAGTCATAGCTGTCATTGGGGAAATTCCTCCCTCCAACCAGAATGCCCTCTTCCTGTTCCCCTACATTACCTTACAGCTTTGGCAGGCTGTGAGCTTTGGGGCAGTACAAAATGATTTGAAAAGGATAAACAGACATGGTTGGGTTATGATCAACACTGCAGATCTCATTACATTATCTTTCCCCAAAACCTACCTCTCTTCCAAACTTTTCCATTTCCTATTTCTGTTGAAGGCATTACTATTCTTTTACTCATATAGGTTCACATCCTTGGTGTCATCCATGACAACTCATTTTCATTCATCCCAAATAGCCAAACAACTGCCAGATCTCTACAGTGTTTCTCACATCCATCCATCCATTTCTCTCTTCATTCATACAACCAGGGTTGAAGCCCTTATCACCTGTTGCCTGGATTACTGTAATATCCTATTTAGTTTCCCTTCAATAAGCTCCAGTGGCTCCTTCTTGCCTCTGGGATCAAATACAAAGTGTGCTGTTTAGAATTTAAAGGCCTTCATACTGTGGCCCCCATATACCTTTCCGGGGGTGTGGG